CTTACACAATTTGGATACTGAGACCTTATCATTGAGAGTTTATGTGTATTGTGTATTAATTCCTTTGCTCTGCACTCATTTCTCTCTGACCGTGACCCTCCCCCTTTAGCTCTATCTTGATTATGTAATGAGATGTTTATCTGTGTGTCAGTGTGTTTGTGCTATGGCTTCCTTTTGCATCGTATCAGTGTTATCTGCCAGGCAGTACCATCGCTCCCTCTCACAAATTGAGCTGAGTTAAGCAAAAGCGTCTCCCACTTTTTTTGCCTACTCTCCCCTGCATTTGACCCTTTAATTTAAAACCTACTAAATTTTTAAAGTTTAAACATTTTATTTTAGAAAGGAATGTTTTTTAAAGAGAGCTTATATTTTCATACTTTTATACTTTTCTTTGGTCATGGGTGTATTGACATGAAGGGGCTTAAGTTCATCGGAAGAGCCGTATTGAATCTATAGGGGAAACATGTATTATTGATACTCGCCTATAATACAAATGATTTCTTTTGGTGGTATCAGTGGCCTAGTGATTAGGTCTCACTCTCAACCATAAGGTTGTGGGTTCGAATCCCATGAGGGGCCCTATATTGTGTCCTTGGGACAAGCACTTCACACCAATTTTTCTCACTCCACCCAGCTATAGAAAGTAAAAGATCTTGTCAGTAATGTCAGTTTGTTAGTGTTTGAGCGTGTGAACTCCACAGCTTGCACTGTATGCTTCCTTGGTAGCTGAGAATGTTTTTGAGTGTTCTAAGGGTCTGCTGGGGTAATAATAGTAGTTATAGAGCATGCTGTAGAGCATGGATACGCACTATTTAAATTATGCAATTATCATTATTACACTGTGCAACAAAATTTACCTTTTTTTCTGCTGCATTGAGTACATGTAGTATGAAAGATATTCATTTGTCATCCTCTTTACTTTTGAGTAAAAGAAGACAAGAATTGAAACTATATGGCAGACTCTTTTATATGGGACAATTCATGCTGTTGGAAAAGCAACAGACTTGACAAGGTAAAAAAGTAGTGAGTGCAACTATTGGGAGTGTATCTATTGTTCTTACAGAATAAATGGGAATGGAAACTGTTATTTCAACATTTTTCTCCTGTCTTGGATTAAAAAATTCACGTAAAAAAACTGTTGAAAGATATTTAAAAAGTTACAGAACTAATAATTCACAAAAGCTCTGATCTTGGAAAAGATTGTCCTGATAAGTCCGTAGCTCAGGCCGAAGGGCTAGAACTCAAATGGCTGCCCGATCAGAAAAGATAAGTCCATGGTTTTCCTGTCCGCATTGCCACACAAACACTTCATGCCATGGGGGAGGGGAGGTGTTTGAACACTGGTGGGGCTTGCTCTGTTTGCAAATTCAGTTGTCATAATCATCAATGCCTTTTAACCCTGGCAATCCATAGGACACATACAAGCTCTTTTCATTGATCTCTGTCCTGGACCATCCTTCCTAGCTCGTTCCAAGTGAGCTTCATCTCTCTCATGTCCCTTTCCACACATCTCCTCCATGTTTCCCATGGCCTCCTTTCGGCTTTCACTGCCTCGCATCATAAACTCTCCCTTCGGAGAAGTTCCACGACCAGCCAAGCAGAGATTCTGGTTTTTGCTTGTATGTGTTTCTGTATCAGGTTCTTTTTACAAGAGAGGTTGTTAGCCTCGTGACTCAAACCCCAACCTGGAGGCAGGATGACTCTGTTTCAGGAGTCACTACCTGGTTCGCCCTTTAGTTGCCTCGTACGACACGCTAGCACCACGTCAGATCTATTCTTCTCAATGCTGGGACTGCATGGCAGATTCAGTGTTCAGTCAGAGAGAAATAACATTGTGCTGTTAAGCATGATGCACAAGAAAAGATCCATTGCCCAAATAGACAAAATCAGTTCCAAGGGAGAGTACTTGGTCTGCTGACAACACACAGCTGATATGAAATATTCCAGATGCGGAGAAAGATTATGACTCCATTTAACTTTTTTTTTTTTACAGTGCAAGTATTTAATGCCCCGACAAGACATATTAGATAATTAAGGAGGCGTGCTTTGATCCTGCCCGTCGGGGGCCAACCCAGGCTGAGAGGGATACAACATCCCAGCAGATAGATGGAGTTACTCAAAAAAAATTCTTCCCACACGAGAATTGAACTTGGGTTTTCTACATTTTGTGCCTAACCGCCACACCACAGATGCTAGTCCGTTCGAATAAGGAAACTTCATGCTAATGCATGTTAGTCAAGTTTGTAACCACCAACAACACAGCGAGTGACCTACTCAACTATGCTGACAGCAACAAAAATAAAAACAACCAACATTGACAGTACAGCAACAAAAACAACAAACGCTGACAAAAACAACCCCCCCCCCCCCCCCTCAAAACCAACCACTCTGTTGACAGCAACAAAAATGAAAACAACAAATAGTAAAACACAAGAATGAATGGAATAACAGTTTATTCTTTGAAATTTATGTGATGAGTCCACAAATGAGTCAATGCCAAAAGTCATAAACTGTCATAAGGACTCAATGGCAAAACATAAAAAGAGTTTAGTCCATGAAAACTCTCAGAACACATGTAGGGAGATGCGCATATCATTTGCAACAATGTAAGAACTAAACAGAAAATAAATCAAAGAAAACTAGTACAAAGGGCAATACTTTTACCAATAAAATGAACATTAAAAAAATATGATTATATTTCTTGTACTGCTCGCCTACTGACTCAAAGACTATTTGCTAACTAAGATAAGTGTAATAGCATAGTAATAAATGATGATTAAAATAAACTGATCAATTAAACTGATGGAACAGCAAGGCATACACAATATTAGTAGGAGGGTAGCTATGCAATGGCATCTGATATTACGGGGAAAGCACACTAATCAACTTAATGCTTACACAACAGGAAAGATGAACTTGTATTGTCAAAGTTAAGAGTTTTTCGGAATAAACAAAAATGGATACAGCAGGCTTGCCAGCTTTTTCAAAACTCAATAAGGGACACCAAATATTATATATGTAACATCAGATTTTGTGAGAACAAACAAAATCATATCAGTGGGATAGGATTTGGTGTAGTGTATGATAAGGTTACCGTCATCTTGTTGCATTTTTACATGATTATCTACATCATGAGAAAGATGTGCTCCAATAAGAACTGAAACCTAGATTTACATTTGATACCTGTTCTAGGCTAATTCTTAAGCACAATCATTAATGCTGAAAAACAAATTCGAACTGCTGGTTTTATTTAAAACGATTGATCTAAAATGTGCTATTAACAGAAGTGTAGCGAGCCCTTGCTGATTGTATTGGGAATTGTGTGCTTTTGATAAGCTAAAAGTTACTTTATCACCACAAGTTAACTTCGAAATTGGCTCATGGAAATGGCTGTGGCTAAAACAAGCTCTCAAATTCCTGACTGTCGAACAGGTCACTTACTAAAGAAATAGTGCTCTTTTGAATGCAAGCGAAACATAACAGGCGTCAGCAGTGGGGCTGAAGAGAACATCTTGTTTCATTTGCTATTACTCCTACTGTTTGTATACAAGATACATCACTCCCTGAAAATAAGATAAAAATAGAGAAGCAAGCAATCTTATTACCACTTCTCATTTCTGAAGAAAAAAAAAGGTATCTAAATTTAAGCTTGGTTTTTAAAGTCATGCTACTCAATCACATTGTTGTATGCTGACTTTTAGTGGCTCAAAACAACTATACAGGTGATGGGAGAAGTTTTCTAATTTTCTCTGGTCTAAATATGTACTGATTTTAATATTAACTAATATATCAGGAAAATTATTAATATGCTATACATATATATATATACATGAAAAATACAGTTGTATGAAGTGGCTCAAAATGAAGAAAAAGGATCACTACGAATACTGATTCAAAACCCTTTACCGTACTTTTGTTTTACAGACAAAACACTTCAGAGTTCATGGATGATAAAAAAGTGAAAGTACTGTTTATGGGCAAAGTTTGACAATTGTGGGACAAACCAAATTGACTTTCTGCACAAAACCACTTGAAAAAAGCTGAAAAGAAAAATTACTGGTTTAGTTAACATCTGCATCCCTAAGAAATCACATGAAAATGCCTAAGGCATTATTCTTTTCAGACAAGTGAATGAAATATCAAAGTGAGATAAAATTTTAAATACTCTAAGATCTCACCATGCATCTACTCCCATCTTCAAAGAAATAGAATCTGTACATTATGAATGAACAGTTGCGAGCGCCGTAAAACCCCATACTAAGCTAAAAAACTAAATGAACAAGATGTACACAAACAATGTATTGAAAGATTTTTCTCACACTGATACTGATAGACAGCTGAATACAACGGCTACTTCTGGTTTTGTCTTCATAAAAGTGGAGGGTAAGATGGATGGGGGGAGGGATGTAAATGTTTAACGTTCCCATTCACACAACTTAGAGGCTTTCGGAAGTGGGCTGTTTAGACCCTGCCTGTCCGAGCCAACCAATGACATGTTTGCTTATTTGAGTAAAGAGAAGCACATCCACACAATAATAGTCATTTAATGCTGAGAAGATGTAAGACAGACAGACAGACAGAAAAATAGAGGGAAAGTAAAGAAGTAGGACCTACCAGTGGCACCCTCCAACCAACCGCAAAGCCAACCATGGCTGAGTGAACTACAACATCCCAGTGAAAAGATGGAGATGACTTGATCAAATAAACTATCACATGAGGGAATCGAACTTATGACTTTTGTGAGCAAGACGAAAAGCCTAACCACCAGGGAGGAGAAGTGAGGACGGAATGAGCAATGTGAAAAATACAGTGGAGTCCCCTTAAATTGAAATCTGCAGGACCATTGAGTTTTCTTACAGTGTTTGCTCAAATGGAAGGTAACAAATCGGTGCCCCCCCCC